AGGCAGGGGCGGGCGGGGCACCTGCCCGGGGCGCCAACTGATGGGGTGCATCTGGCTCCCGCAGTGCTGGCCCGCCAGCATCCCCACCGCAGCACTGGCCAGCAACGCCCTTTCCCCCACGGCCATGGGACCCTACATGGCCCAGCGCGCGCATCAGCAGCAACAGCTGGGCCGGACTGGGCCGCGTTTGCACCATGCGCCCCAGGAGCAGGCCTGCGCACCCTAAGGGAGTGGGCCCGCTCCCCATGGGCGGGCCCACGTATGCGCCGTGCGCCCGGGGGCAGCGCCGCACACCTGTGCCCGAGGCACCAGAATGCCTTGGGCCAGCCCTGGATGCAGCAGCAGGGCACATTCACCCAAAGTATGCAATTGGGTGTCAGGCCAGGCTGGGGGGAGAGTGCAGGGAAAGAATGGGGGTAGGTGTCTTTCTAGGAGGGAGAGTACAGGAACAAGATAGGGTGTCAGAGCAAGCTGGGGGTGCGGGGTCTCGGCAGGGGAGAGGGGAGTGAGAGAGAGAGGGATTGGCCTGTGGGGATTTGGGCATCACAGGGGATGCTTACCTGGCTTCACGCCCCCTTGTAGCAACTGCTGTGGCCAAACGGTCCCAGGCCAGCCCTAGAGCCCCTGCTGCCATGGCCACACGGTCCCGGGCTGGCCCCAGAGACACCGCTGTGGTGACCAGGCTGTCTGTCCCAGGCCAGCCCCAGAGGTGGCGCTGCCATGCGGGACCGGCCCCAGCAGTGCTGCTGAGGAGCCTCAGTCACACAAAGATGCTGCCTCTCACCACAGCCTAGCCTGCTGCTGGGGAAAAGGGTGGGTGCTCCAGCAGCTGCATGAAGGAGGAGGGAAGGGGCTGAACTACTGCCCCACATGCTGTTGAAAATCAGCACGCATGCCACTTATGGCACATGTGCCATAGGTTGTCAACCCCTGGTCTATAGCAGCTCTCAGGCAGAAAGTATGGACACTGGGGAACTAATCTAGTAGATGCAATGTCTATGAATTAAAAACTAGAAAAATTTTAACTGTAGGTGAGACTTTTTCTTACAGAAAGTAATTTATTAGGGAAGAGATAAATTAATCACTTGAATCTAAATAAAGAGGCTTCATATTTAACTCAATTACAAGTTACTGGGCCTTAAAAATGTTCACTTATATCAGTGGTCCCCAATCTTTCGTGGCTGCCAGGCATCCAGAGGCGGGGCCGCTCACACGCCAGGCATCCGGGGGGTGGGGCCACGCATGTGCCGCGCGCTGGGGGTAGGGGCCACCCACATGCCCTGTGCCTGGGGCTGGCACTGCGCATGTGCCGCGCACCTGGGGCAGGGGCCGGCCCAGATGATTTGGCGGGCGGCCCTAAAAGCCCCCGGCGGGGGCCACGGCGC